TCCCGGGCGTCGCGGGCTGTGGTGGAGGGAGACTGAGAGAGAGAGAGAGAGAGAGAGAGACAGAGAGAGACAGAGCGAGAGAGAGAGAGAGAGAGACAGAGAGAAAGAGAGAGATGAGATCAAGGTGACAGGCTGGAGGTCAGTCAGGGTGGGCATTTGATCTCAATCCCCCCCAACCTCCTTATCGCCCGCAGGGCGGCCGTATAGGTACATATATATATATACACAGAGAGAGAGAGAGAGAGAGGAATGGTAAAGGAGAAAGGGGGAGAGGGAGGGAGGGAGGGAGAGAGAGAGAGAGAGAGAGAAAGCGAGAAAGAGAAAGAGAGAGAGAGCGCGAGAGAGAGAGAGAGATGATGAGAGAGGGAGAGGACAAATATGATATACAGAGAGAGAGAGAGAGAGAGATAGAGAGGAGGAGGAGGAGGAGGAGGATGAGGAGGAGAGCGATGACTATATATAGACAGAGAGAGATACAGAGAGAGAGAGAGAGAGAGAACGAGAGAGATAGATAAGCAAACCAAAGCAAAAGAGAGAGAGAGAGAGGGATAACCACACATACATACATACACACACTCACACACATATATATATATATATATCGATATAACGCACGCGGCCAAACCAAGGATGGAAACCTGGGGGAGGGGGGGGCGAGGACGGGGCTGAGGGCTCTGGGCGCCCCCTCCCCCTCGCAGGAGTGCTGCCGCCTCGTGCGGCCCGGCGGGGTCTACCTGTGCCTCAGCCTGCACGGGCCGCGGGACGTGCTCAGGCCCCCGTCCCCCCGATGGTTGTGATGTTCCAACCTACTTAGCCTTGATCGCCAGAGTGAATTTCGAGCACCAAGAAAGCACTCCTAAACATCTAGGGTTTTCACGTGTCGGAAGCATCTGGGGTTTTCACGTGTCGGGCCCTGGTAGACACTCTCTCGATATTGTTACGACACTCTTTCGACACTCTTTCGACGCTTTTCTGGGTGCTCGCAATTATTTCTGGGATGTGGTCCTTAAGTAGGATGGGAGCAACATAACCCGAAGGACTCATTAGGCGGTATCTCGTTTTCTCGTGCTCCATTGGTTTCTTGGCGGGCTTCACGAGTGGGCTTCCTGTCCCCCCTAGCCGCGCTGCTTCTCGTGTTCAGGGGGTGTTTTTTTATGAGTCGCTCTTGCGATTGCGGAAATCCTGGGAATCCATTTCCCTTTGGGTTTCAAAGGCACAAGTCTTCCGACGAGGAAGATCACGAGTCCACCTCGGGGTCGGATTGGTTGATCTTCCTTTCGGTCCCCTGGGGGCCCCAAGGCCCCCCAGGGAGTTGGCAGGTAGCAGCAGCGGATGTCGAACAATTCGCCCTCCCAGCTCACCCCTCCCCCCTGTCCCTCCCCCTCCCCCGCCCTCTTCCCCTCCCCCCCTGCCCCCTGCCCTCCCCGCGCACCCCCGTTCCCTATCCTTCTTCGTCCTTGTAAGGCGATCCTTGGGCCCCTCCGACTGCGCGCATACCTCTGGCCATGACTCGCCAAGCCCCCTCCCGGTGCCATCGGCTTCTGCCCGCGGCGCGGGCCGCCCGCCTCCGCGGGCCCGCCTGGGGGGGGGCTCGTGCGAGGTGGCGCCGAGGATGCTCGGGGGCGACGATAAGGGGACGGGGCGTTGCACGTACTCGCCAGGGAGGTTCGCCGAAGGCACGAGCCATCGGCACCCCTGGACACACGTGTAGTGCAACTCTCCCCTGGGCTGTTCGCCCCCCCGAGATGCCGGGGCCCCCTCCCTCCTCCTCCTCCTCCCTCCTCTTCCTCCTCCTCCTCCTCCTCCTCGTCCTTCTCCTCCTCCTCTCCCTCCTCCTCCTCCTCCTCCTCCTCCTCCTCCTCCTCCCACCTCCCCCTCCGGAACACGGGCCGCCGCCGCCGAGAGCCCTTCGCAGGGGGGGGGGGGGGGACCCGTCCCGGGCGGCGGCACGCCGCGGCGCCGTCGGGCGCGAAAGAGGGCGCTCGCCCGGGTCGCAGCCCTCTCTCTTCGGCGCGCCCCGCCCCCGACGTGCGACGCCCGGAGGTTCTCGAGACGGGGTCCCCAGACCCCCTCGAGTAATGAAAAAATCATGACGGGAGGTTTTTCGCCATTTTCGGCCTCTGGGGGCCCTCACCGGGCCTCGGGGGCGTCAAAAAACGACTCAGGATGACAAACCGGTCCTGGGGAAGGGGTCGAGAATTCTGGGGTCGACGTAATGAAAAATTCATTACGTCGGGGGTCTGGGTCCTTGGAAGTCCCGACCCTCTCCCCGGGGCGGGTTCTCCACCCCGCGCTGTCTTCTGCCGGTCCTGGGGCCCAGCGGAGGCCCGGCCGAGGGCGGCCGGGGACCTCCCGCCGTGCTTCTTGCACGTCGCGAGACTGGCCGGGGGAGCCCCTGCCCCGCCCAGCGCCGCCACCGATGGGCCCCGCCCGCGTGCGGCGGCCGTCGGTGCCTCGGCTCCGTCGGGCGGCTTCCGTTCTCCCCGGGCGTCGCCTGCAGGCGCTGGTCGAGTGCGCGGCCCGCCACGGCCAGTCATCATGGGCAACGGTAGGCTCAGGGGGGGACGCATAGGCCCGCAATCGCCGATTGTTCGCCGCTGTGGGGGCCGACGACTCTGCCTGCCCAGGAGCGTGCGGATTCGCCACTGGTGGCCTGTCGCTGATCCATCGGCAATGCATCACGGGTTCTGGGTCGATGTTTCCCCCCCTGCGCTGGCCTCCCCTCGTCGCTGGCCTTCGGGGGAAGAAAAGGAGAGGAGAGGCAGCAGGAGGAAAAGGAGGAAGAGGCAGAGGCGGAGGCGGAGGCGGAGACACAGATACATGGACACACAGACACACAGACACAGACACAGACACACAGACGCACAGACACACAGACACACACACACACACTCACACACAGAACGTACACACCACACACAACACACGGACACAACACACACAACACACAGCAGCACACACAACACAGACAACGCTTTTCCTCTCGAGCATCCCACCCTCCACGGGGGGAAGTGGCAATCGTCCCCGTCCAGAAAAAGCAACAGTCGTCGGGAATCAGGAGACCGGCCACCCCTGCCGACGTCGCCATCCCGCCGATCACCCCTCGGCGAGCGCGGGCGCGCAGCAGGCAACGGAGGGCAAGCTGCGAGCGCCGAGCGTGTGGCCACAACACACAACACGCACAACCCACACAACACACACAACACGCACACAACACGCACACACAACACACACAACACACAAAATACAACACACAACGTACAACATACACGACACACACACAACCACAACATTCTCAACACACGCATACACGCACGCACTCACGCCCGCACGCATTAGCACACGCACACGCACACGCACACGCACACGCACACGCAAATGCACACGCACACGCACACGCACACGCACACACACGCTCGCGCACGCACACGCACACGCACACGCACACGCACACGCACACGCGCACACGCGCACACGCGCACAATCGCACACGCACACTTATACACACTTACACACACCCACGCACACCACCTACATACACACACGCACCGCACACGCACACGCACACGCACACGCACACGCACACGCACACGCACACAGCACCGACATACACACACACACGTTACACACAACACATATACACACACGCACGCACGCACGCACACACACACACACCTCGCGTCCTCTTCCCTCTTGTTTTTTTCCCAACCATCCTGCGTTGGGTACTCGTTTTGAATAGAGCACTGCGGTCTCCACCTTCCTTCCTTCCCGCCTCCTCCTCCTCTCTTCCCTCTTCCTCTCCTCTCTTGCTTCCCTTCTCCGCCTCTCTTCGCTCCTCCTCTTCTCTCTTGCATCCCTTCTCTTCTCTTCGCTCCTCCTCTCTTGCTTCCCTTCTCCTCCTCTCTTCGCTCCTCCTCTTCTCTCTTGCCTTTTACGTCATCCCCTTGGGGCTGCGATCTGTGAAACTGTCGCCACTTTCGAGGGCTGCAGGTGGGTCCAGCGGAGTGAGGCACCACGCAGATTCAAATTAGACATCGCCATCCCTGGGGGGCGGCGATCTGCGAAACTGTCACCACTTTCGAGGGCTGCTGGTGGGTCCAGCGGAGTGAGGCACCGCGCAGATTCAGATTAGACCTCGCCATCCCTGGGGGGCTGCGATCTGTGAAACTGTCGTCACTTTCGAGGGCCGCTGGTGGGTCCAGCGGAGTGAGGCACCACGCAAATTCAGATTAGACCTCGACTTTCGAGGGCTGCTGGTGGGTCCAGCGGAGTGAGGCACCACGCAGATTCAAATTAGACCTCGCCATCCCTGGGGGTTTGCGATCTGCGAAATTGTCGTCACTTTCGAGGGCTGCTGGTGGGTCCAGCGGAGTGAGGCACCACGCAAATTCAGATTAGACCTCGCCGTCCCTGGGGGGCTGCGATCTGCGAAACTGTCGTCACTTTCGAGGGCTGCTGGTGGGTCCAGCGGAGTGAGGCACCACGCAGATTCATATTAGACCTCGCCATCCCTGGGGGGCTGCGATCTGCGAAACTGTCACCACTTTCGAGGGCTGCTGGTGGGTCCAGCGGAGTGAAGCACCACGCAGATTCAGATTAGACCTCGCCACCCCTGGGGGGCTGCGATCCGCGAAAATGTCGTCACTTTCGAGGGCTGCTGGTGGGTCCAGCGGACTGAGGCACCACGCAGATTCAGATTAGACCTCGACTTTCGAGGGCTGCTGGTGGGTCCAGCGGAGTGAGGCACCACGCAGATTCATATTAGACCTCGCCATCCCTGGGGGTTTGCGATCTGCGAAATTGTCGTCACTTTCGAGGGCTGCTGGTGGGTCCAGCGGAGTGAGGCACCACGCAGATTCAGATTAGACCTCGCCATCCCTGGGGGGCTGCGATCTGCGAAACTGTCGTCACTTTCGAGGGCTGCTGGTGGGTCCAGCGGAGTGAGGCACCACGCAGATTCAGATTAGACCTCGCCATCTTTGGGGGGCTGCGATCTGCGAAACTGTCGTCACTTTCGAGGGCTGCTGGTGGGTCCAGCGGAGTGAGGCACCACGCAGATTCAGATTAGACCTCGCCATCCTTGGGGGGCTGCGATCTGCGAAACTGTCGCCACATTCGAGGGCTGAGGGTGGGTCCAGCGGAGTGAGGCACCACGCAGATTTAGATTAGACCTCGCCATCCTGTGGACAGGCATGAATCTGTGAAGAGGCAGCAGGCATGCGTTGACCGAGCTCCTGCAAAAACGAAACAGTCTCTTGCTTCCTCCCTCCTCTTTCATCATCGCCGCCCTAGTCCTCCTGTTACCTTGGTTTGTGCTTGCACGTGAAGGAAGTCTCGAGTTGTTGTCTGTCTGTTTGTCGCCCATTGGCTTTACAGAGCATGAGTCGCCTCTTGATGATGATGCAACCCTGCCGTGGTAGATCATGTTTTTGGCGAGCTTCCTCTTGCCTCTGTTGCCGTCTGGCTCTATTTTCCTACTTTGAGCTTCTCTGGTCCAGAGTCGATGGACGCGGTCGCCATCCCTGGCGGGGCGGCCGCGTTGCCGGCCTGGGTGGTGCTGGCGCTGGAGGCCGCGGCTTTCCTTGTGCCGGGCTGGGGCCCCGGGCAGGCGGCCTGCCCAGACCTCTCGTGCCCTGCCTGCCCAGCGTGCCCAGAGGCGGCGGCGTGCGCGGCCTGCCCGGAGGCCGCGGCCTGCCCGGCTTGCGCGCCGCCTCCCTGCGCGGCTTGCCCGGCCTGCGAGCCGCCGCCGTGCGCGGCCTGCCCGGCCTGCGAGGCGAGGGCGTGCCCGGAGGCGTCGGCTGGCGAGAAGGCGGCTGAGAAGCTCGCTGGAGCGCTGCTTGGAGGCCTGGTGCACTGGCTGGTGTCGAAGGTGGTCGCTCGCAGGCATGGCGTCGCTCGTGGGGTGGTTCCGCGGCGACGCGGGGCGGGAGTGGTGGACTAGAGCGCTCCCAGGGGAGCATGTGGTCTGCCGTTTCGCCGACGACGACGTCGACCACGAGCGGGTGCTGCTGCACTACGTGGCGGAAGGCGAGTGGGTCGTCCTGACCCCAGATGGTGACATCTACGCTGAGGACATGAGCTGTGGGGACCCTGAGACTGGGCCTGCCCGAGCCTTCCCGCTGGCACTGCGGACGCGCAAGATGCGGAGGCTGTATCGCTTCCGTGAGGAGCTGGGGCCCGACGAGCTGGCCGACGCGTTGACGCGGGGCCGTCAGGCGGCGCTGGAGATGGACGCTGCCTTGCCTGAGCCGAGGGAGGCCGTGGCCGTGGGCGGCCAGCGGGTCACCTGGCAGGAGGCTGCTGGTAAGCTGTCGGCCGCGAAGCGGGCCGGCCTGCTGCGCCTGGGCATGGCCGTGGCTCGGCTGGGCGGGAAGCTGCTGGAGGCTCCTGGTGCGGGTCAGGCCTGGATCGCCCTCAGCGGCGGGCCCGGCGTTGCGATCGGAACGGAGGTCGACGTGGCGAACATCGAGGGCCTGAGCTTCGAGGACGGGCCCGAGCCGTTCGGTGTGCTGAGGGCCGCCGACGGCGGCATAGTGCGTCTCGCCCGGCTAGACGCAGGGTCGGCCCCTGGGCGCGTGGCCGAGGAGGCCGCAGTCTGGCATGGCCTGGACAGAGGCCAAGCGCGTGCCCTGGGCCCCGAGCGCCGACGTGCTGCAGCCGCGGCGCCGCTCGAGGATGAGGAGCCCGCCGAGCCCATAGGCGGCGCGGCTACGCCCGAGCTGGCGCTGCCGCCCTTGGCGGAGCCGCTGGGCGAGGAGCGTGACGCCGACGCCCGCGCGCTCTGGGTCGACTACGACGAGCAGGGCGAGCGGTTCAAGCGATGGCGGGACGTGGTAGGCGAGTCGAGGCAGGAGCGCTACCCAGACGCGAAGGTGGACGGACCGCCTGGGGCTCTCCACATGTGCAAGCACATGGAAAGGCACGGTGGCGACCCGCGCCTCTGGATCGACCTCTTCATCCGCATGAAGGGCCTCGGGCAGAATGACCGCGTGGTGCACGAGCTGAGGACTATCGTGGAGGCCTTGTACCAGGGCGGGGTATATGACCAGTTGAACATGGGCGGCCTGATGATGGTGGAGGTGTTGACACGCCGCGTGGCCGCAGTGGTGGATGCCTATGCGGACCCGTCGAAGCCGAGCTGGACGAACGCGCGCTTCTTCGAGGGCGTGAGCTCGGTGGAGGACGTCTCAGGGCCAGAGCTCAGGGGCTACATCCACCGGCGGGCGAAGGAGCAGCACGAGAGGAGCAGGCGCAGAATCGGGCGCGCACGCTACGCGGGGCGCCTTCAGAGACAGTCGACGGAGCAGAAGGAGCTGGAGGTGACGCAGCAGGTGCGGGGCGCGGTGGCGGCCGAGGCGGCCGCGGGCGCGGCCGGGCCAGGGGCGTCGCCTCCACGGGGCCATGACGGCCCCCGGGCCCGGGGGCTTCAGCCCCTCCCCCGGGCCCTTTTTGCCGGGGCACGACGGTGGCCGCTTGCCGCCCTCGCGAGGAGCCCGCAGCTTTCTGCCGCCCCCGCTGCTGGGCGACGCAGGCCGCCGAATTCGCGGCAGGTCTAGCAGGGCGAGGCAGTTCGGTCGTGAGTCTCGGATTGCGTTGGAGGTCAACGGGATCGTCGACGCCATCAACTGGATGTCGGAGTACGACTCGCAACCTGGCCCAGCCAATGACATGCAGCGGGATGTACTTGCGCGCTTCGAGGGCCTCGTTCGGGGCCGGCAGCCGGGCGCCAAGTTGCAGGAGCCGCAGGCGGCCCTCCGGGAGCTGCTGCGGGGCCGCTCGCCATATGCCGGGCGCGGCGGCCCGACGACGGTCGCCTCCTACAGTGCAGGGCTCGTCAGCATGCCGACGGACGTGAGCGACTGCCCGCGTCTTGAGGACCTCTTGCATGGCGAGGCCCTTACCTTCTTGCGGGAGCGCCAAGAGCGCATGCTACGAGAGTCACCTTTGCCGACCGGCGTCGAGCCGTACTTCGACTCGGTCCTCAAGTTCAACCACAAGGAGTACCGCGGCCTGGTGCGTCGGCTGCTGTCAGCTGGCATTCTGGGGTGGACTCTGACACCGAAAGAGAGAATTGGGATGTTCTTTGTGTGGAAGGATGGGCGGCGCCGACTTCGCCTCATAGTCGACGCCCGCCGTGCGAACGCCCACTTCAGGGATCCTCCTGGGGTGGAGCTATTGAGCAGCGAGGGCCTCGCCAGAGTCGAGGTGCACGTGCCGGACGCGGGCTTCTCGAGTTACGAGGACCTCCGCGCCGCGCTGGAGGCGCAGCAGGTGTGCATCGGCATGGCGGACGTGAAGGACTGCTTTCATCGAATGCGGATCGATTCAGCCCTCTCGCAATACTTCTGCCTGCCGCCTGTCAAGGCTGGGGCTTTCGGCGTGACCGAGGTCGAGGGGATCAAGGTGCAGACGTCGACGGCCATCTACCCTTGCTGGCAGGTCCTGCCCATGGGCTTCAGCTGGTCTCTCTACTTCGCCCAGCGGGCCAACGAGGAGGTAAGCCGCCGCAGCGGCGCGCTCCTCAGGGGGCCCAGTCTGTCAGACCATGGGCCACCGCTCGTGTTCGCGCCTGGCAGGGCGCCCCAGGAGGTCAGGCACTACGTGTACGTCGACAACTTGGGGGTCTTCTCGCTATTCTCTGAGCTCGTGAGCGGCGTGATGAACCAGCTGACGGGCGAGTTCACCGAGCTGAACCTACTGTTGCTCAAGGACGAGCTGGTGCCGGGCATGGCAGTGGCGCTTGGCGCGGAGATCGACGGCAGCCAGTTACGCACTCGAGTGACCAGTGATCGGTTCTTGCGCTGCCGCCAGGCCGTGCGGGGCCTCCGAGCCCGCCGCCGTGTCGAGGGCTGGGCCGTGGAGGCAGTGTTGGGCCACCTAACCTTTTGTGGCCTCTGCTCGCGCGGCACCTTGTCAGCTTTCAATTCAGTGTGCGGCTTTGTGCGAGCCCACTATGACGAGGCGGCCGTGCTGAGGGCCGAGGCGCGGCGAGAGCTGGCCGCCTTCAGCTCCCCGATGTACTTCCTGGAGTCAGATTGGTGGCTGCCTTGGAATCCGATGGTGCAGCAGTCAGATGCCAGTCTTCACGGCTACGGACTGGCAAGGGCTTTCTGGCCGCAGGAGCTGGTGGAGTCAGTCGGGCGCGTGCCTGAGCGGGCCCGCTTTCGCCGGCGCTGCGCGCGCAGTGCTCGAGAGGCTGCGCTCTGCGCAGCCGGCTTCGGTATGAGTGAGAGTGGAAAATGGGAACTCAAGGGCCTTCCCGAAGATGAGGAGGAGCTGGGCCAGTGGGACGTTGTGAGGGACTTCCCGGAGGTGCCCGCTCAGGGGCTCCGCGCAGGCCTGTGGGAGCCCTGTTTCGCGAGAGCCTGGCGGCACCCTGAGGGCATCTTGACCTTGGAGGCCCGAGCCCTGGTCGGCAGCATCCATCGTATCGCCACCACGGTCTTTGGGTTCCATATACGTCAGTTACTGCTCTGTGACAATATGTCGGTCGTGCTAGGCTTCAATCGGGGAAGGAGCTCGTGTTTCAACTTGTTGGTTCAGATTCGTCGATTTCACGCTGTCTGTCTAAGCCGAAACATTCGTTGTTCGATTCGTTGGATACCCAGTGAGCTCAACTGTGCCGACCTTCCCTCACGGCTATTTGATCCTGACGGCGCAAAGTCCACCCTTCTGGCTGAGCTGTTGGAACTCGAGAGCTCCCAGGCGCGCCCAGGGCGGGTTCCCGCCTGGGCCGCGCCCGAGCGGGCGGCCGATGGCGCCGCGGCCCGCGATGCTGCCTGCGCGCCCTCAAGCGCCAGGCGGGCGGGGCCGCTCTCGGAGCCCCCAGCAGGCCAGGCGAGACGCGAGGCTCGAGACGGGCCGCCGGCGCACGCGGCAGCTGGCGCCGTCTCGCCCGGAGCTTGGCCTGCGGCCGTCAGCCCGCGGCCAGGAGGCGAGGCGCACGCGGCAGCTTGTCCCTGCGCCGCCGATAGCGCCGCAGCCGCTGCCGGCAGCTCGG